CAAATTCAGATTATTATATTATTTTTTTCTTGTTCAAAATACCAGACAGCTTAAGTTATTCAACTGATATTAAAATTTTATGTCCAGTTAAACTTAGGGGTTGAAAAGTTGCTCTACCTAAACAATCAACACATTCAAATGCAACTAAAGATATCAAGCCCATAGTATAGTCTGTTAGATATACACAGAGAATATACATAATATTTTCATAAATTTATTAATAAATATTTTTTAAAATAGTTGACTGACACAAATATCTTATAGATACTTACATACGATCCTCTAATCATTCGTTAATTAAGTAGTATAAAAAGTTAAATATCAGGAAGACTTTGGCACATTCACCAATCTTCAAGGAACCTTCGCCTTTTCCGTTTGCAGAAAAATGTGGAATAATAATTAAACAAAACAAAAATTAAGACACACGTCATGACTTGTGTTTCGTTAAAAATCCAGATCCTGCAAAGAATAAATTTGGGATCCTGTTTTAGCTCAAAACCAGAAAAATTAAAAAAAAGGTAAGGAAGAAGAAACAACAACAGAAAAAACTACAAATAATGGAAAGACCTTATGTCATGCGTCGTCTCGTATATAAGCTGCCATAAGGATGACTTAATCATATTAAGGAGTTTTTGCTATTGTTGTAGTTTTCAGTGCCAAATTAACGTCATTGTCCAGGATCAAGGTGTATAAAGTAGACGCAAATAAAGTAAACAATATATAGGAATAAGGAAATCAACTGAATTGCGCTTCCTAATAGGATTATTGAATGGTTTTGTATGTGAACTGGAAGACTTTTGTGAGTTGTTGTTATTGGTTTTAGAAGGTACATTGGCTTATGCCAAAATTTAATTCAAAATAAAATAAGTGAAGGAACAAAGACAAAATATACACACAAAAATAGCAAAAGACAACACAAATATGAAACCAAACGGAGCAGATGTTGGTGGATCAATTCGGAAGAGCTGCGATATACAAATATAATTAATCTTATTTTCCTTTTTTTGGTGTTTTTGAAATTTCTTACAGAGAATGAATTTGTTCTGATGAAAAGATATTAGGAAAAATTATTACGTATTTGTTACAAAACTAAATGGGCTTATTGGCATTTAGACGTCATATTAAAGTTAAAATTCAAAATTATTCTAAAACTGTTTTTGAGACAAAGCACGATTAGTATTGCAGTTTTCTGTCAATACTAATCGAAAACTTACCTTATATGGAATCCATATGTATTCCTATTTTATTTAAAAAAGGAAAACATATACACAAGAAACAGTTTAATTTCATAATGAGAGCAAAGCTAATATGCTTATAAGTTAATTAATTAATAACTAATATGCTTATAAGTTAATTAACTGAAGGAATTGATCTGTTGAATTTTATTTAATAAATTAATAAAATTTTAAATAACATGTGTATTTTAAATAACATATAAAGAGAGAGAAGGCAAAGAGTACTGAAATACATATAACTAAATAAGAAAGCCCTTCAGTAATATTTATAAAAATCGTAGCATCTAGACATATCTGTTTGGCAACGTATACCTATTAAAAATAGATATGGTGAACATAATTCTTCAAGATCCTAAAAGTCAAAGAATAGATGCTAATATTCAAAGTTTATATATTTATATAACATATATTATATAATACAAATAATTACTTTATTTAAAAATTCATCTAAAATTATTTCAAAATTTTATTCGAAGAATTACTTTACCGCATTTAAAGCTTTTCGTAAAATTAGTAAAAATCTTACACCAAATCTTATATTACTAACATATATATTACTAACATATACAAGTAACATATATCTTATGTAAATATAATATTTATATACCAAAAAAAATTATACTAAATTGGTGAACTACTTACACTAACAACTATAGTATATTACTATTTGTTACATTTTAGTTGTAGGCTCTAGTAGCAGTAAGGGAATCTTGAAGAAAGGGTACTTACAGATAAAAATACACAAAACAAAATATAGCGGATTCAAATAGTCATATGACCCATATACGTTCTTAGTCAATCTATTAAGACTAACCGATTTCGTGTTGTAAGCGTAATGAAATGTCAATATATAACTTTATATGAAGACTAGTCTTTCAGTCTCTCGTAAAGGGTCTTTACTCAAGTGCACACTGCACAGTATGTATTCATCTCAAATCTGGTGTGGGACAAGGCTGTATTTTATATCCTCTTCTGTTTAATGTTGTTATTGATGGTATCATATCGATGGCGACCCGAGTGGAGTGGGGAATTTTTTCCGACATGCAAAACAAGCTGTGCGACCTAGACTACGCTGATTACATCTGTTTAATATCACACAATTTTGCGCAGATTTAAGAAAGTTTGCAGTCGCTAAAACGAGTCGCTAAACAGGTCCATCTCACTCGATTTTGTTGTGGGTGACGTGAACTACGATCACGTCACCAATTTTTGTTACTTAGGCAGTTATATTGCAAACGACGGCGAAAGTTAACGCGACATTATATACCACCTAACGAAAGCCAACAAGCCTTTGAAATGTTCAGTAAATTGCGGAGGACGTCAAACATCTCACTCCGCACTAAATTAAGATTACTCAACACGAATGTAAAGGCCACCCTCTTATATGGATGTGAAGTCTGGAATACTTCTGCCGGCAACGCACAGGCAGATCTCAAGTAATAATGGCACGAAAATATGTTTGGATCCAGTCATATTCTACGCAGACCAGCAGACGACATACTAATCAAGTTCTGGATTATAACTTCCAAGCCTCTAAAAGTCCCAGACAACCGTGCAGCACGTGACGGAGACAAACTGAAATAGAGCTACGATCTGACGGAAAAAGTTTCAACGAAATTAAAAGTTTAGCGTCTGATAGAAAGCAATTGAAACTATTTGTTACGGCGCTATGTTTCATGTAAGAATTAAGGGATGAGATATATATATATTTGTAGTCTCTCAGTATTGGAGTTAATTTCACCACACTTTGCGCAAGAACTTTATAAATTCGAAAAAGCCGCAAACGAGCGAAGTTGGACATAGCTGATATGAGCTAATATAATGCATGTACACATGGTCACATGTAAATTTATTGGACTCACGTCAAAATGTTTAGTCAATGGTTAATTTAATTTCTATATCTTAGCACTAAAGTAGACTTTCTACTTCTCTTAAGTCATTATGATTTTCTACGATCACATTTATAAATATGTGAATTAAGAAAAACTGCTGATTAAAACATTTATTTATCATAATCCTTTGAGTAAATGCCCAAACATATAGCTAAACTTCACATATTGTTGACCGCTATAGCCGCAAGTTCATACTGAGTCCTTTTATTCAGCAGTGATACGATAAGCCATCGATCTTATCTGAATAATCTTGACGCCACGTAGCCATGTAGTGTCAGGATATTTGCATTACCCGTTTATGTAAATTTTTGCAAAGATAAGCAGAGGGGAAGATGCCCTCTTCTACGCACTGACTGTATACTGAAATCTTTTGCAGAAATTTAAGTTGTGTTTCACATAAAAGGAAGCTGAACGAATTGCGTTTCTCACACAGTCGTACTCACAGCATAAATCGTACTGCCTCCATCGATTCCCACTGCAATCTTATGTGGTACAGTTCATGTGTTGTTCCTTTGCCAATTTTGGAGTCATTGTTTTTGTTGTATTTGTTGCCACACTTGACTTGTTACTCTGAACTTAACCAATTCCGCCACTGCCACTCTACCTGTTGCTGGTTGGCGATTCGGCCATTCTTTATGTTGTTTCTGTAATTTCATTATTTATAGGTGTCAATAAATTGTGCCTAATATTATGTATTAAATAATGTATGGCTTAAGTAGAGTTCTGAGTTTTTGGCTGGACTTAACGATTTTCATATTGTAGCTTTAGTTTCACATATCCAGCAATTGGTTTATTCTTTTGCTTACTTGAATTTTTAATGCGAAATTTCGATTTCAAAGGACTGCCCGCAAGTTGGGAAGCAGCGCCGAATTCTTTAACATTTATTGAAGAATTAAATTACTCCTAACAGTGCGCGTTCTTCAGCACGAAACTGGAATTTAAATTTTTTAAAATTAAAATATTCAAAAGTCTTCTTCGTCTGTGCTTTAATGAAGACCATGTTTTCGCACTTGAACCGCATTGTGTTGCCTCATTGCCTCATTGCCTCGTTGCTTGCAAGATTGATGGTTCTCGCTATATATGCTATATTATTTCTAATGGGATCATTAATTTTTGGTCCTTTGGTAACATCGCTTTGCCGCACCACAAAGATATTTTGAATAAATTTTATGATAAATTTTGTGATTAAATCGTGTTTGGTATTAGTAAACTAATCGTTGCTATATCTTTAAGTATTTCAATGTCTCGGTATAAAAAGGTCTTAAAAATTCTCACTATTTTATTGTTATTGTATTTTGATATAACTATAGATAGATAAATGTATATATAGTTTCAGAACCTATGATAATAAATGCGATGGATATATAAATGTTTATTGAAAAACCAACAAAACATCTTAGGTAACTTCTTGAATTTAAGTAGAGATTAATAGACAAGAGTCAAACATTTGCAAAACTAAAGTTAAACTCTTCATTTACAAGGATTTTGTTTTAAATTTTTTATCTTTGACAATGCCGTCGATCGTCAAATTAAAAACTCATAAAACATTAACCATTACCATTTAAAAGAATTTACATTTCGAGGAAATGAAATTGTAAATCGAGGAAATAAAGTTCAAATTTGGCAGGACACAAATTCGATTCCTAGTACTTGCACTCTCAAAAAAATTATTTACGAATAATTAAATACAAGAATTATATCCAAGATCACTGATGATGGATATTTAGCAATACTCTAAACAACTATATGGTCACTAAAAAATTCAATTGATGAAAATAATATAAAATTAATTTTTGTTGTTGTAGTTCACTACTGTTCGAAGTGAATAGTAGACCTCTTCGAATTATTAGTAATAATTAGAAATATTAGACTATTCAAATTGTACACTAAAATTTTATTTTCAAAGTATAATCGTTTTAGTTTTACAAGGCTAACATATACCAAAATCTTTCATCATGTTCATCATTTGTCCATTATTTTTGTGTTTAATTAAATAAAATGCAAATCTAAGAGATTGTTTTCATTTCAATGGAAGCGGATATTATTTACTACAAAATCATTTAGATCCGTTTGACGTAGCCTGTAATGTTCAATGCACAGCCGACTTCGATGTTTCTCAATATTTGTGAAAATTTTTGGTAATGTGTTGGTCTTTAAAGGTATATAATATATTAATGAGTCCTTGTATTCTTCTCTGTAATATAAATAAAGAAACTATAAATAAGTTCTAATAAAATATAATATATAAGTGTTATAAAACAATATCGTTACTGTAGAACGGCATTCGGAAATTTATGCTTTAGAAATCCTTTCACGTCTCTTACAACACTAGACCGCAGTCTTCTTATGATTTTGGCATGTTCCTTGGGTTTCTCTGTTTCTGATGTTATGCTCTCAAATGACCTTTAACAGATTCAGAAAAGTAGTAAATATATAAGCTAAACATTAAATACAAAAACTACTTACTCATTGGAAGAGCTCGAAATCGACAAGATCGAACCTAGACTTCGATTAATCTTCATGTATATTATAACACCTTTTGACAATTTTCTTTTCAAATACCTCAACGAGCCAATAAACTCACCTTCACCATTTCTTAATAAAATCAAATGGGTGCACATTGCACTACACTCGTTGGAACTCTCACAAGCAAGTATTATCGTTGATCCATGTTTGAGTACTTTATGCAACACTTGCCAAATTTGTCGTCTGGTATCTGTATCAACCTCTGTTGTTGGGTGATCCAAAAATATTAATTCTGGTGATCCAATTAAAGCAATGGCAATACTTAACTTTCGCTTTTCGTTCAGTGTATAATTTTCGATCCGCAAATCAAAATAATCCTGAAGAAAGAAATTTTCTTCAACCTCTTTACAAACAAAGTCTGTTCTGGATTCATTGTAGCCATGCAATAGACAAAAAAATATAAGTATCTCTCGGCCAGTAAACATATCCATTAAAGGATTATCTTGTGGACAATAACCTATAATTTTGCGAATGGATTTTCTATCTGTTCTCAAATCTAAGCCTTTCACATAACCATTTCCATACGTTATATGAGACTCTCCAACGAGCATTTGTAAAATGGTCGTCTTGCCAGCTTTGTGATCCCCATATAAACCGAAGCATTGTGACCTATAATGTTGAACTTTATATAAGGAACTATGTAGGAATACGTATATATACTAAGAATATGTTACTTACTTCCGCACACGCATATAGATTTGATTGACTGCAATATTACTTTTATAGTACTTGGTTACACCTTTTAACACTAGTGGTTGTATCGAAATTTCCTCCTTCGTCATCTCCTGTATCATACGTTTTTCAGCTAGAAAATCTTTATAGAGTTCATTTCTATTTGGTTCATTTTTCTTTCGACTGTCAATAAAGGAACACAAGACGTACTACTAATTCTACTTAAGTAAAATTTTGTTATTGATCAAATTTTAGAAAATAGCAACAAAGAAGTATCTGTCTTTATTGTGCAATATATTATTCTTTGTTGAGTAATTAATTATTTTTAGTTGAACTTTCAACAAATTTCATTTGAAACCATTTTTAACAATTGAAGCAATTATTTTAATGAATAATGTTGACATATTTTTTTGTTGCTTTTTTAGATGTAAAATAGAATACAAATTACTGTTTAAAAACAGTAATTTTCTTATACACAATCCATCGGAATTAGCACTTGTTGAAAATTTTAGCAGTTACGGATGAAATATTCCGAAACTAAGTAATGTAAAAGTTATCATATTAGTTATGACTTATTGACTCATTCACTCATTGATTCCTTTTACATTAGTTTGTAAAATAATACTATATGGACTATTAAGCCACTAAATAAATAAGCGACAGATGAATTACAAATTAACACACGAGTTACATACACAATATGAGAACTCACATTATTAATCCGTGTATTTGATTATATAATTTTATGAGCACACCATATTCGATTAGGAAGAGTAACAGAAAATAAAGCAGACCCAATATAAATAAGAACAATAGCTCCAGTGCAATTCCAGGATAATCAAATCCAATTACGGATATTGGTTCTAAAAAGAAGAATATGTAATATATTTTAGGTTTTTAAAAAAATATTTTAGTTTTGATACTTACTATAACATATTGAATTTCCCTTAAGTTTTGGTTGCCGAGCACTTTCCAAGTTGCAAATTTTCTTTAAAAGATAAGAAGTATATAGCCTCTCAGCGCTTAAGCACACTAAGAAATGAGGAAATATGTAAAACCATTCTGGTACCATCTTATTTGGATATAACTTGAGGGACAAATACAAACACGGACCTATATAAGATTTTCTTTACTCAGAATGGTACCTTGTTATTAGAAATAGAGATTAGAATACCCAGAATAAGGTTAATAAATACAGTGTAACCAAGTCCTGTTGCTGGTTTATTAAAGAAAAATGCTTCCAGATATTTTACTGGAAGTACAGCAAAGCCGAAGGCACTCGAAAGTAAAAGTAATCCACCTGAAAAGCAAGAATTTTTTAAAAGCAAACTAAATATGGTATAGATAGAAAAGGGTCTGACCTAGTCGCAGTATTATTGAAGCAGTCCTGCCTACGATCACCACAGCTGAAATACATATCACTAGTGCTGCAACGAAAATAATGAACCAATCACAAACAAAATGAGTTATCCAATAAGTCAATGGACCAACGCCTTCAATATTTTGCAACAGCTTGAATTTGTTCACTCTTTCCTTTATTATGGCTATAATGAAGACGGAAGATATAAATGACATCGCCAATCCAAAATTTAAAGCTAAACTTGAACCTCCATACATATCACTTCCCACACGCGCTAATAAAGAGTTTATGTCGTATGGTATGGGTTTATTACTCACTGTGATATTTGCATCTTTACCAAGCAATGAACTATAAAAATAAATATTTTCATTATTATATGAAAAATGCAAAAGCACAGAATGGGAGGCGTACGTACTATGCCATTGCATTGTGTACCATATTTAAAGATAGCGGCGCTGAATGCAGAAGGTGATTATTAAACCAAGCAATTATTAGTTCATGTGTTATGGTGGCTGCAACCAAGTACTCTGAATTAACCAGAAATTTTTGATCCTTAAGCATTTCCACCATATATTCAGGAAATGATTTTGAAAAAATTGTTTTAACAATATAATTCGATCTATGTTCGTCAAGTAGTCCTTCGTACTCTATAACATATCTAGGCAAGGAACTCGAGTTATATTGTGAAGAGTCCAAAATAGCTACAAGCTTCGGATATTGTTCTATGGCATAGGTTATTGGGCATTGATCATATCTTGATTTGGATATGGAGGTTATTAGACAAGATAATATGATAAACATCAGCGATCCGAGTAAAATTACAGGTAAAGCTAATTGTCTTCTAAGACATATCGCTTTCTTCATGAACATGGCGATCAATCGACGTCTTATCAGTGTAAGCGTTTTCACATACGGTTTTCTCAATGCTGTAAAAAAAGACAATGAGATACCCATTTATTAGTTTTCGACCTGGGAAAATGACGGGAAATATTAAAACAGATTTTTATAAAACATACATACAGTTGATCGTATTTAAATTCACACTATTCCTTTCAATTGGATCAATTTCTCCTTTTGTGAAAAACTGCCTAACTGTATTACTCTTTATTATGTAATCACCGAGTTGGAGCTTATCAATATTTTCTGGCAGGTTTTTTAGCAATGGGATGAAATTTGGATGGTCTGCAGGTGGTAATTGATAGACCAATTCATCTTTATTCTGATATTCTAGCCTAATTTCAGGTATAAATTCGCGCAGCCAGAGAGTGACTTCGTCCTTATTTGTTGTTTCTTTTTTTAGACAAATCTGCAAATATAAAACATAACTAGGTGACCCTTTGTAAAAAGACATAATGATCAAAATACAAATTACCCACCAAGCGATATCCCGTACCAAAATTTTTGTTTAAAAACAACGGACTTCCATAGCACTTTACTTCTCCCTCACTCAATACAGCAACGCGATCACCTATAACTTCAGCTTCGGTTGATGATATTGTTGTTACTAAGATTGTGCGCCCTTCTTTTTCAGCTTGTAATAATTTCCAAAAATTCCACTTGGACTCATTATCTAAGCCTTGAGAAGGTTCGTCTAAATAAACGACTCGACTGTCGCCACACAAAGCACAGGTAATAGACAACTTTCTTTTCATATTGGCAGAAAGTCTTTTCGCTTGTACGTTGGCTATATCGCTCAGCTGCATGAACTCTAGCCAATTACTAACTTCAGTTTCAACGTCACTTCCATGTAAAGCTCTCAGGCGAGAGAAAAAAACTATGTGGTCCACTACAGTAAGTTCATCAAACAAACAATCCTCTTTTAAGCAAAAACCAATTGAACTACGAGCTCGCTGAAGACCACTCTGTTGTCGACTATCATGGGTGAAAACCATGGCGGAACCACTTGTTGGTTGTGTCATTCCCGCTAGCATTGACAAAATTGCAGATTTGCCCGAATTTTTACCCCCCAAAAACACTGTTATTTCACCCTGAAACAAATTCATTGATAAAGCAGGCACCACTACTTTATCGCCTACTACTTTTTTTAAGCCTTTTATGCTTACACCAATTTTCTTGTTTGGAGGAATTTCCTGAAATGCTACAGGATCGTATGTTTCACTACCAAAATGTACACTTTTTTTCCGAACTTCAGTTATTGTCAACCAATCGCTAAATATGAAGTTCCAGTTTCGCGTGGTTGGATATGGATCTGCCATAACTCGTTCTGCATAGCAACAAATAAATATTGACAGCAAAATGGAGATTAGCATTATAAGGATAATAAAACCTATGCAAAGACTATCTTCAACCGATATGGGTTGAAATATATTAGTCCAGTGTGCGCCCTCTCCACTCGTTTCTTTGGCACATATGACCCTGAAACCGTAACCAAGTGCCGAATTATATAATAGACACCATATGAGTTTTTCTGTTAAACTTTGTTCCTTGTAGTTGCCCGTCAAATATGGCACAAATATAACAAATCCTAATACAGCCACGAACACTGCTGCTTTTGTTTTGGTTCGAATAATTGCAGTAATCATAAAGGAGAAACATATCAAACAGGTACAATATGTAAGCAGAAAGAAGAATAAAAGAGTTCCACTCGAATTCGTGAATACTGCGAATCCACTTCTCCACTTAATCTAGATGTGGAGTAATAGAAAATAATTCATTTTAAATTAAGTCTAATAACTTAGCACTACATAAGTAAAATATACTTTTTTGTTTCTAGTAATATTGTATATAGCCGTTAATTACAGTGGGAAACATATATATGTGAGATACGATAAATTTTACTCATAATATATGAAGTTCTCTTTCTTATTTGACAGAGACTCTAAGTGCGCTACGTATTTATCTAATCTCAAAAGCTGGCTATAGGAAGGCATATGATTTAAATTGCAAAAACAAGCGTTATCATCGTAACTAAATAAGATTGTTGAAAAAAAAAATAGAATATTTAATATGCATTTTAGAGATCCTGTGTTAATGAAAGCAAATTGCTACTCTTGGAATATACTGATTGATCTACTATATATTCTACTATATACTATATTTTCTACTAGATAAAAACTCAGAATTGTAACACGTTGTTAATAATAACACTAGAAATCGGGTCCAATACAATGCTATTCACTGCCACAGTAGTCTTCAACATTATAACCTTACATATGTTACCATGGGATAATCAAGAAATAAAATTCTAAATTAGCTGAACGAGACAAGTTGATTTATGTTTCGGCAATCTATTCTTCTGTCTATTTGAATACGTTTTTGTATGAATACTTCTATCTGAACCTATCTGATATATAGTAGTGAGATTTTTTAAAAACGAAACTTACTTTAAACATTATTGTCAGGAATAAAACAGTTAACCCCATAAACAAAAACTCTTTTGTGAAATATGACAGCCACTGCATCCAGTTTTTCACACCCATTACCTTCAACAGATGTTTTGCACGTTTTTCCTCCTCTTCTGCAATAAACTATGAAGACTATAAATTTTATATTAATTTTAGTAGAAAGTTCCGGTACCATTGTTAACTCAACTGATGAATAAAAGTAAGCCAACATCAATAGAATCGGTACATATATTTCCATTTTTGACATTAAAGTATCTATTTCTGTTTCTGGATATGGAAATCTTTGCATGAAAATTGGTGGTAGTGACTTTTTATTAGAAGCTAATTCCAAAAAGGAAATCGCCACTGCATTCTGTAAAGCGAGAAAACCTTTTCGGATATAAGCAACTGGTGTGCCACCATCATTGTCATGGAGGTTTCTTGGTCCCATCAATACGTTATCTGGTAGGAGATTGCTTGTTTGCCACATATTTTCATCATTTGAATCACTGGGAAACCGTATGGTGTATGATAATGTATGAGGATATGAATGTGTATAAAGTAACGAATCGTTGAACTCAATTCCTGCGAAATAGTCACCTTTTAACAGTTCTGTTTCCATTTTTTCTGGATTTTGTGAGGACTTTACGTTCGACATCGACAATTTAATTGCAGCGTTTTGCATAATTTTTTCAAAGTAAATATTTTGTGGACAAAACAACAGTTCGGTCTTGTCGCTACTAAAAGGTGTCATTCAGAAATGATGTATGAAATGTGGATTGTGATTTACTTACGTTATATGTGATGTGTCTGCCAAATCGATGGCCACATAGTGCGTCTCTGGTATTTTCGTGATAGTTACACTGAGTCGCATTGAAATCAAAATAATGGCAACGATTAAAGGCCCCAACACTGATAAGAACAACTCGAGCTTTTGTTGCTTCTGTGTTTTCCAATTTTTCCACGAAAGCAAACAAAGTTTTTGAAATTTTGTTAAATTTCTTCTGTGTTTAACTATGACAAAATGAATTATTTTATTAATAGGGAATATATTCCAATTCTTAATTCCTACCTTTATATATTTGGCAGATATTATTAACACATATTGAATATGAAGATAATTTATTTTTGATTAAGAGAATTAATAAATTTTTTAATCAAAATATCAAGTTAAATTTGTCCTTACAACTACGAAGAGACAGAGCTGAGACTGCTACTGTGATTTCTGATGGGTCATGTTACTCTGCGCACTACCAGCACAACAATATGAATTTAACTACGGTGACAGAATCTGTAATCTACCTGGATGATGATGAGAGTTTTAGTCATGTTCTTTGCGATTATTCGAGTTCATAGAATATAATGGCTTTTATCCGAACAGCTTTTAGAGTTTTCTTGTTTACAAAAAAACTCTAGAAAGAGCATAAAATCTTGTCATAATATATTTTATGGAATACATTTATTAAGAACATCCAGTTTGTATATCCTTTAACCCAGTGTGAACGAAATTTATATGCAAAAAAATTTACTTAGATTTATTTGCATTAGTTGCATCTGTACAGTCTGGCTAATACTAAATATTATTTTCGGTTATTTTCGATTTTTTTAAAATATTTTTGGTTGATAATGTGTTTTCTGATATTTGAAAAATTTTTATAAGAACATAGAAAGAAATTATTTAAAATTTATTTACAAAAATAATTTTAAAACAAAGTACTTATTTATACTCAACAATCAAAATCTTTATGACCAAAGACTTATTCAAAATACCTATGTCTTACGGGTATCTTACAGATATTTTCAATTAATTTACTAATATTGAACAACACAGCAGTAACAACAATGGCAACAAATTCAGCATTAATTAAATTTGACGCATACCACATTCCATGTATCTCGGCTATCTATTCCAAGTGCTTGGCTACTTGCAAAACTAGAAATATTTGCGGGCATATCACCTGAAGCTAATAAACAAGTTATCATCCCCACGACTATTATCACCAACATAATCATTATGCACGACGTATCAATTTTTGCCAGCACTGTTTGCCATGGGATCACTTCGCAGACACATTGGCAACAGTACAGTGGCAGAAGTAGAAGCTACTATTCCAAAGCTCCAACTGTGCTTGTGAGCTGCTCTCTACACAAATGCTTGCCGGTAAAGGGGGACAACATGTGATATATATATATTATGCATACATATATATCACATAAATTGAAGGATAGGATAGGATTGAAGCTAGTAGCAAGCTAGTTGCCAGTTGATCTGCTCGATCTTGTCATTAAATGATGCTGATCTTTAAGTGCAGCCAATCGAAGTAATCAGTAATCATGTTGAAGCTGTTGCTGACGGCTGTAGCTGTTGCTGTAGCTGTAGCTGTTGCCATGAATGTTGTACAGATTGCGGGCAGTAACTGCATCAAAGTTAAATTATGGCTTACTTGGTTAATGTTTGTAGTCTTTAGTAAATTGCGCCTGTGCCGTGTTGGCAATTGAAATTGTTCGCATGACATTGGCAAGAGCATTTCTTTCCATAAACCTGCTCTCAGCTGTAGTTGCGTTTTTTGGAGTGCAATGCATGCGGAGTGTGGAGTTCCGAGTTTAAACTATGCTGTGTGATGTGTGATGTGTGCTGTGTGCTGTATGCTGTATGCGGTATGCTACGCGGAGTGTGGCTTGTTAGAAATACGCAATCCATCAACTTGTTGACACACCAGCAAGCAGTGAACAGTTGCACTGACAAGCGCATAGGTAATCGTGGAACGAGCTCAGGCTCAGATTGATATACAGACAAATGTGTTTAGCTCTAAAATTGTAGCTTGAAAATTCTAGTTTTCAATTTTATTAAAATGTACGAAACTCAATTCGTACTTAGAAACGCCCTTGAAGGCAGTGAAGTATCAAGTATATTCACTATACGTATACATTATATATCACATACCAATTCAACTTTTTTTGAATAAAAAAATGACTAAGTAAAAATTTTTCTTGCGATTGTTAAGAAAAACCTGGATACTGTGAAATCAAAACTTTAGGAATGACATTTTTCTTTGCAGACAGCGTGTCGTCAGAAACTAGTTGATATCTGGTTCATTAATGCTCTGGATGTAGAGCACAAAAATGAATGCTTAAGTTGATACAAGCCGCATTGAGAAATTTTTAAAATATTCCACATTCTTCGAAATAGAAAATTTTTAAGTTATCATCCTGTATGAAAGAACAGAAGAAACTAGTTCTTTGGGAGCAATAACAAGACCAGGGATCAAGCACAATATTTAGTATATTCTTCAAATAAATATAATTTAGTTCATAAAATAATCTAAATCGAATCTAAACCTATACAAAAAGACTAATTCGCAGAACAAGAAGCGGCTATGATATGCTGTAATAGGAATAAGTTTTTCAAAATTGACAAAGAGTACGAATTATGCAAACAAACTAGCATATTTGGATTTCATATCTTTTGAAGCAAATATAAGGTTTTAATAACAATTTTTGGCAATTTTCAATGACGATTTTAAATATAATTCAATTTTCATATATATATTTGTAAAAATCACTTTGGATTATCCGAACGGTACTCCTATTTACTAGAGAAGTTTATTTATTGTAAGTTGTTGATGAAATATGTTAGAATATCTCGACATCTTGTGAACTTCAATATCTTCTCGATCTTTCTGAAAGCGGTTGTAATACCACGAGTTTATGAATGATCAGCTAGTCAAACTAGCTGGCACTTTGACTGGTATATATCTATGATACTATAGTATAATGAGATTCTATACTTGTTGGCTTCTGAATAGATTCGAATGTTTTTGAAGATAAAAACCAAGTAGTGCTACTCTTCCGTTGATGAATACAAAATTTATTGCTCAATTTCTAGACTTAAAATTTCATAATTTTTAAAATAAAGTAATACAGTTGCATATACTTATAAAACCAAATTCTAATTTAACACCATCTGGAACATTAAATATGGGTTTCTTAACGAAAAGTCAAGTGCACGAAAAACTAAAATTCTGTTTAATTGCTGGATATAATGGAACTCTATTTGCAAGGTTCCCTTGCCTGCCACTAGCAAGAGTGTCTTCGCAGTTGTACTTCATCCTATGTTCCCCCTTTTTATTGCTAAAATTTATACAAAATTTTCAGCATAATTTTGCGCCCACCTTAGTGGTCGATTTTTAATTATTTCAGGTTTGTTCTCTTCTTTTGTTGTTTTCGTTACCCAAAACAAGTCTCATTATACAACATATTCCAGCGATTCGGTTCTGTGGAATGCTTGGCCGCACACCATGATTCCTTATTGGAATTCATTAAAAATGCACTTTCGCATGCGTGCAAAAAAATTCTGTATCAAATGGGAACATTCGAAAAATTCACGAAATTAGTTCACAAGACAATTTTCAGGATGCACGACGCTTTCTGGCAATGAAAAGGCTGCAGCACTGTTTTTTTGCCCCGGTCGCCATAATTTAGTCATCAGGTGATGTTTTGTATTTAATAAAATGTTAACTACAGAAATACACCGCAATATTTTCTTATTTTAAAGCTGAAGTTTGAAATTCGGTCAGATACAAACAAAATCGATGACACTCGAGAGAAGAGGTTAGCATGCCCACCTAACTAGTAATTGAAGCTAAATTTATCGATAAGTTTTAATTCATAACACCTTATAATGGAAGAAATTCGAACACTCCTTTCTTAAAGTCTTTCCTACATCATTATGGACATGGGATTCAACAGTATAACATATGTGATAACAGGATAAATATTTTAATCCACGTTTTTGGATTTTAACACTTATCTACTTTTAATATAAAGGGATTAAACAGAGTACCATATTGACCTTATTCTGCATATCATAAGTTTAGTAGGAGAAGCAAGTATTCAAGTATAATTGCAAGTATAAAGTATACTTTACCTCATCTTCAGCTTTATTTTTCACATTTAGTCTGGGAATAATCAAACAGGGAATTTCAAATATGTTATCCTTTATATCTGATTTATGAAATATTTTAACTTAGACGTATTATTGAAGGAAAATCATTTCTCATATCATGTATTTTATATAATTTAAACATGTAATGAATCGCCTATTTAGAATTAAGCTATGACAACACCTTAATAATTTTTTTCCTCTTCTGGTGATAGTTTACTATACGAGTACAATTGCAATAGTTATTTATTGAGTAGAGGAAAGTAAAAGTAAAGAACTAGAACTAGTTATATTGCATACCGGTGAATTCTGTAAGGAACAGAATTTAATACATAAATTCTGTAACTTAATTTATTAATATAGTAGATACAGTTCACAACCAATTAATCACGTTTCACAATGTATACATAATACTACAAATAGCAAGACCAGTAAATTATGGCCGTTACAAAGAATGTGTGGATCCATAAGACAATAACCACCTATGTGTATGAGGAAGAAATTATTATATTATAAAAAAAGAACACACAGGACAACTGTCCTATAAATATTAATTGAAAACTTCTCTATGGATATAAGTAAAAGCACCTATACCATAGATCTTTTACGACAGGGAAGTCATATATATGATACACGCGTATAGTAAAATGAAAGGAGATAAGCTTTGAGTTATTTTCTTTATTAAGATGAAAATAAGGAATATAAAACACATAATTATTGGACGATCTTCGCTTTTCTTGCTTTGCGTTTATCAAGCAAATGAACATAATACCTTCAATCCAGGTATCGGACTACACCCATAAAGTAAGTGACAAAATATGTAATGCAGAACAATGAGTGTACTTGAAATTTAGGGCTTGCAATACATAATTCTGACTAAAAGTTGTCTATCTAGAAGCTAATAATATTGCATTACTTATGTACTTCGGTGATAATACACTTTCAATATTATGTGTTAGAGCATTGACAGAAATCAACTCGCACCCTGTGTTTTCTCAGAATATTTCAAATTTTCAGTTTAATAATTTTTAATACACATACCATATATAAGATATATATATTATATGCATGAAAATAATATCTGTATATAATTTCTTTCAACTTACCCATTTTAGACTACTCTAAAAATATAGTTCGTTTCCACTAAAGTCGTTTTAATAATTATATAGCAATCAACTAAACACTAAATACATATTCTCTAAAAATCCATATTGTACATGAAAAATTATATTTTTTTAATTTTAATAAATTAAAAACACAGTCTACTATATAAGTGTAGATTAAATTTCCAATAAAAAAAGCAATAACCCAACTACCAATAAAAACAAAAAACAATAATAATATTATCAAACCAAAAATGTGAATTATAAAAAAATGATATAAAAATGAATTAAGACAATTTAAAAAAAATAAAAATTAAAATAATTTATTAATAATTTATTAAATAAATTATGTATTGATTATGTTTTCATAAATAAATAATTAATTGAATGCTGCTGGAAGTTTCCGTTATTATGTTTCCAATGTTAAAACTCACATTCTATATATATTTCATCATCATCATATTTCGTGACTATACAGTCCATGTAGGACTTAGCCTGTTTAACAACATCCTTCCATTCTTCTTTGTTTTTTGCTTTGGTTTTTTAATTTCTTATGTTCATTTCTTCTAAATCCTGCTGCACACTGTCGCCCTCTTCTTGATCCTAAGGGTATCAGGGTTGAGTTGATCCTAAGGGTATCAGTTATATATTTTTATTTTTTAATCACCAATTCTTCACATTGTAACGTGGAATCTATTATTCTTAATTTATATATTTAGTAATGCAAGCAAAATACTCGTATACAGCCTTGCTTTCCCATTTACTCATTTTTCCGAAGCATAGTTTATGGCGTCTTTCATGTGTTGAACCATATACAACTATATCTGTGTTAATAAAACTGAAATTCTATAATTGTTTATATTTATAAATTTATGTCGCATACGGTGATTAGTATATGTGACCCATTTTAATAAAACTATTAATATAATAATTATCATTGAATATCAATATTTTAATGAAAATTTTATTGGCTGAGAGGAAAAAGTAATTGGCTGTGAAAGTCATATAAAATAGCAATTCGATTAATGTTTTTTTTAAAAGCTCAATGGATTGTATCATTTTTTTTCTTTAAGACTTTACAATATTTTAAGGATTCTTAAGATTTACTTGGCACCTTAAAATGTGAGCTGTGCAACTTTATCCTATATCGAGTTAATTATTTTACTTCGAACTCATAATAATTCCTTACACTTATTATGAAATTCATATTTTAACTGAGAATAAACACATTTGACTTAACTTGAGATTTGATCACAGTTTGAATGGTAGCCAGTCCATATGCCATATTCAATATGAGTCGAAGGTGTTGCAAAGACGCCACCACAGACCAAGCTGTCGGCAATTCCAGCGCACAAACAGTGAAGGCGAAAAGGTTTTGGATTTGCGATCAAGGCACTTGTTGAAAGTCGCGCTTCGAGGGGCTAATTTAGTTTGCGAATAGTTTGTGGCAATTTTGTTTGCTTGGCGCTTCGGTTTGAATGGTCAGCAACTCCTGCAATGCAGCAATGCAATAACTTCAGCGCCATCATAATTATTATCATTGGCATCATCGCACGGAGATGGCAAGACACGATGGACGATGGTCGATAGTCAATGGCCGATGGCCGATGGACGATGGACGATGTATGATGGCGCTTCGTAAATTTATTTTCGCGCTGCAAATGACGCAAATACCGCATACCAAGCCGCCCGCGTCTCCGATGGCGTTTATTTTTGACATTCTATAGCCGGATTCCGCATATTAACAAGAAGCCACGAACACAGACACTAACTTGTATATTTGTCGTTTATTTTTTTATTTTTGCTGATGCTGTTGTTGTTGTTGTTGTTGTTGTTTTTGTTATTATTTTTGTTCTCCATTATCTATCACGTTTACTTATTTATGAAATATCGTCTTCATTTTTATGAGCGCTGACCATTGAATACGAGTACATGTTGTGCGTATCTTGAAGGGTTTAAGTTCGGTTGGTATGAGTACATCAATGCGATTATGTGGTCATGTTATTATTGTAGATGATGTTGTTTTTGTTTTTGTTGTTGTAATTGTTGCCATCAAACAATCTCGTTCACAAGCTCCAAACTCAACAACTTGGTGATTTATGATTTATGTCTCTGCTGGTGCTTTGTTTTGGAAATGGGTTTTTGGGAACCCTCCCGTTGTGCTTTTTATTGAATTTGCTGCTGATACTTTCAAAAGTTAAAGCGGTAACCTGCCTCACTGGGCAGGCAAAGAAACAAGGACGCACTTTTAAAGGCAACATCAAGAATTTCATTTGTTAATTTTTTTTTTCATTTTTCAAAAAATGTAAAAATTCTGATATTTTTAAAATACCAAACAAAACAATTCCAGTCGAAAGTTTTTTTTTCTTCTAAAAGTTATGTTAATTAGAAAAATATTAATAGTAAAACGAGAAAAAAATAAAAAAAATGTTTAGTTTAATTAATTTTGTTTTTCATTAGATAATCTATATTTTTGTGTGTTCTTATAACGAAACACTTTTCAGAGTGTTATGCAGACTCTGCATTAGTCCTGAATTCAGACAGAATGAGGTGGGTTTTCCTCACAGAATATTTCTTCTTCTTATTTGGCACAATTTTTTCTTTCGGTTTCATAACAGTTCTTTGAAAGTTTTTTGAACCTTTCCTTATTGAAAATTAATTTTAATGAAGTTTATATTGACCTTAACCGTGATATAGTTTATTATATAAGATCTTTTAACATACTACTCGTATTTTCCAGATAAGTTTAAATTTCCATCGGTGTAGAATTTCAATGGTTTTTTGTCAAAAAACTTGGCCAAAAGATTTCAGCGGCTCTCGGTTCGATCAATTAGTAGTAGTCAGATAATGCAAGGTGTGGGCTATGCGATAAATTCATTAACAATTTCCAAGTTCAAGTGCCATTAACTTGTTCCGAGCCTGTAGCCTGGGATTATCATGATCATATAACTTGTTTTCTGTTGTCCAACTCAAGTTTTTCCTTACCTGTTAATTGTTTCATTCAAGTGGGCGATTTGTGAGAAGTAGATAACCAAATTAACCAATACACCAGGTTGGACCAGCTCTTAAGAAATGATTAATAGATCTTCCAATTCCATTCAACTCTTAAATTTAAGATGTTTTGCCATCAATCCAGGATTTGAAGTCGTCTGTAGAAGATCACCTGTTTTTGAATATGATCGCTTAATATGAATATTCTCTAATTTAATGCATGTTTCATCTCACACAATGTTTGCTTTCAAAAATCATTCGTTTTCGTTGCGTTTTTGGAATTCACTGATGGTTATTCTGTAATTCAAATTTCTTTGTCTTAATTCATGTGATATCAAAATACCGAGTAACTTTGCCTAGCCAGCTCTTCTGAAATTATATCAAACTGTTATGTAGCTGATGTTACGTGACTCCACTATCTTCTGATAGCTTGACTTGCGGCCCTACTTCACCAGATACAAAATTTCGACTTTTTTAACAACAAAAATCGGCAGATTCTTTTTATATTACCCAATACATATAGTTTCTAAAGTTACCTTCCCTTCCTTCAATTCGAATGCTAGAAATAGTAATATAACTTTTTAGATTACTCATCATGACTTAGAAAACTTTTTGGTGTCAAGAACTTTTTGCCTTTCATAGATTGTTTCCATATGATGAGTTCCTACTATAAACAATTTATTCAAGATTTGTCAAAATGATCTGAAAAGTCCTGTCGTTATTTGTACAGGACTTTTTGAACTAGATCATTATAAGAATTACTTATCTAAACAAAATAAAAAATAAATCTTATATATGTTGTAGGTTTGAGGAGCTGATAAGTTCAGTGATCTGACATATATATGATTATTTCTACTACTTTTACATAGTACTTAAAGGCATCCTAATTAATTCCTTCCACAAATGCTGTGTGAGCTGTTACTGCATTAATACATAAATAAAGAATTTTATTGTCTGCTACAAATCAAACGAATTCGAACGAATTCCTGGAATTTTAAAATGTTTACAAACAATTTTTATTATTTGTCTTAACCTATTTTGGTGGTCTGTTAACACTGTAATTTTACGCTAATCAGCACTGATTGCACTGGCCACTAATCTGCGCGTTAGCTCATAAGTTTCGGTCCCTTTTAAGATATTTCGATCATCAAGAAAACAAGCGTGATAATGTGCTAAATCCAAAAGTCGATTGCCGCCATTTCAACGCCATCAGGCTTACTACTGATATGATTAACAGTAACGCCAACAATCAACGTGCAACGTGCAACGATGAACGATCTGCGATTTGCGATTTGCGATCTGCAAACTGCAAACAACAAACAACAAACAACAAACTGTGATCACCTCAACTCGTCTCATATCGTCTCATACAGACTCATCCCATTTCATCGAGTGAAGTTAAGTCAAACTACACTACGAGTAAAAACCAAATCCATGCCCAGTCAAACCAAATCCAAACCGAAAATGATTCACACTTAAATTATAGGTTGCCCACAAAACCGCCTCAATGCCTCCTCAATGCGATCATAATCTGGGCTGCTGATTGTGGCGGTATCCTTTTTCCAATTTTTATTTCACAAATTTGTTTTGTTGTTATATTTCATTTCTTTTGGCTCATTTTGTATTGTTTATTTGGTTTTTTCATTATCGCATACTTTTTTGGAGCAAATTGAGACTGTGGTTTTGCCACTTTGGCTCATTGAAGACAGGCAATCATCAGGTCCAGATGTGGTTGCTCATAAATTCGATTATCTCTCCTTTAGTCGGTTGGTCGGTTGATCGCTTGATCGCTTGATCGCTTGATCGCTTGGTTGCTTGGACGCTTGCTCAGTGTATGTGCCCTGCGATCTTTTCTTAAGCAATTATAAGTGCAGCATGTGAAAGAAGAAACGCCGCCAAACGAGATAATCTGCTGGTTAAGCTCGGCTATAACTTTGGCACTTTAATTAGAGTTTGAACAAAGCTGATAGACTCCGGCAATTTTATTAATTCGATATATTGAAATATTCTTTGTTTCAAATGGAATTTATTTATGACATTAACAAAATGAAGTTAACTTTGTTTATACTAGGATTATAATCTGGTCTACCCTGATTATAGTTCTG